TTATCTGCCTGAGCTTGGCCTTCATAATTTCATTCCATCACAGTAATATTAAGGCCACTAATTACATTTCTGAGTATTGGGAATTTCAAACATAAGAAGAAGGAAACATATTCTTGTTACATGACTGCATCTCAGATAGGGGATTCTAGTAGAGAACAGTTAGTAAGTTTACTTGTTATCTATTCATCCTATCCCTAAAAGACACAAAATAAATGTGTCTCAAATCCTAATTGTAAAAAAAAATAGTCATAAAAATAATTTGACCTGAGTTAATGACAGCAACTGGGGGCAGAATTGCCATCGCTAAGTGATGCGGTCATAAAGCACAGTGTCACATGACTGCACCACCTAGCAATAGCAATGCCAGCAGTCCCAGTTGCCATTGTTAAGCGAGGACCTCATGTGACCGTAACTTTCGACTTCTTGCCGACTTCCCCATTGACTTTGCTTGTGGAAAGTTGGCAGAGAAAGTCGCAAATCACGATCACATGACTGCAGGGACGCTGCAACGGCCAGAATGCCGAGGACCAGTTGTAACTACCACTTATTCTGTGCTGTCATAAGTTTGAACAGTCGCTGAATGAGTGGTCATTAAATGGGGACCACCTGTATTATTTATATGAAAGTTGATGATTAATTAGAAAGAAAGCTAGAAATAAATTTAATATCAAACTTTTTTCCCCAACACATTGGCTGCCAAGTTCACCTTAAACTAGTCAATCCCAAATGTCATCTTTGACTGTTTCTCCTCATCAGATCTGACAGGCTGTCCTAAATCTAGGCCAAATATGTAGTTCTTCACATCTTCAATCCAATTCAGTACTCATAGCTCAGTGCATATTAGTCCCGGGCTATTAAGATATCTTTTTATCTTCCACCTTGGCACTTTTTCATATTCATTACTGGTTTATACAGTCTCTCAATTCAGATATAATTCTAAATCACTGCAACATTACAGGAACAAATCTCTTGAACCCTGAGTGTGAGTATTCTCTTTTGGGGGAGGTAATGTAAATTCTAATTTACTAAAACAGTAATATAGTTTCAATAAACTCTAATGTAAAATACAGTTACTGAAAAAATAATATAGATTTAATAAACTATACATCAACTACAGTATAGTTTAGATGCAACAACAAAATCTCTTAAAGTTACGGTAATTTATTTATAGGCTATGACAGCAGATTGTAAAGATTTCTTAATGTGGTGAACATTCAGAATTAATTCAGTGAAGCCTTATTGTTTTGCATCATTATGGAACTTTATAATCATCCTAAGATGATACACTAAAAAACTTTGCCACTTGCCACTGCTCAATATATATATTGTCCTTTCCCTAATTTTACACTGGCAGTCCCATAATATTCAGCATATTCAAAGCTAGCATGAAGTAGTGTCCAGAAGTCTTTATTAGAAGCAGTAGAACAAGTTGAAATATCCATATAGCCCTTACATCTGTTGAATCCAAGTATTGAGTTAGAATCTGTCTCTTGTATTCTGGCATGTTACGGGCCTCTGTTTTATATATTAATTTCATGCTCACACACCACAAATGGGTTCAGAATGAAGCAATTCAACAACAGAGTTTATCCACAGAATTTCCCAAATAACTCCTGCATTTCCCAAACGATTTAACTTGAAAATTGTTCCATAAAATAAGTAATTGAAAACTGTGTATAATGTTTCTTACCATATTAAAAACATAACAAAACTGTAACTTACCTCTCGGGTAGCTAATCTATCACTTAATTCCTCAGCTTGAGAAATATTACCTTCAGCTAAACATTTGTCTATGCTGCTTTCAAGGCCAGACTAGAAAACATAACAAAACAAAGAGTAAAAATCAGTGTTCTTCCTAGAATACCAACTGAATAATATAAAAATGTCCTAAAGTAAAGCTATCAACTCCAAAATAATATTAAACTTCACACCTGTAACTTTCATATGTAACAAATTCATATATAGCAGAATGATTTTTAAAGTAGTTTAGGAAATTATGACTGAGTAGAGCTCAACCTCTGATAACTTCAAAGGCAGATCCATATAGTTTTCTTGTCAAAAAATTGAAGTATATTGCAATTGCCTTCTTTTGGATATTTTTGTCAACTTTCCAGCTTACTGAGCACACCTGGGATGTCTTCCATCCAGGTAGTAAGCAGGTCTGACCATAGGTTGGTTTTGATTTCAACTTTGAGTATCCTGTGGTACTGTTAAATAGTTGCAGAACTGTTGTATGAGAACAACCCTTTATATTACTTTCACCTTACTTTTTGAATAAATTCTGCACTTAAAAATGTCAATGAACATTTTTATGTTATACCAATCATAATAATGTTTCACCTCAATAGCTGATTCATCCATTTCTTTCCTGAACATATTTATTTTTATTTATTTATTCAATTTACATAGCCGCCCATCTCAAACCAGTAACTCTGGGCAGCTAACAACAATAAAAACATCAACATTAAAAACAGTACAAAAATAAATATAATATAAATACAGCTGAGAGATCTAAAAACCGTTGGTATCAACACAACCATGAAACAGGACCCTTCACAACCCTGGGTGCAAAGCCAGGTCTTCAAGGCCTTCCAAAAAGCCAAATGAGTCGAGGCCATCCTAATCTCAGGAGAAAGGATGTTCTACAGGGTAGCCACCAAAGCAGAAAAGGCACGTCTGCTGGTAGCAATGGAGGCAAATATGTGTAGCTCAGGGTTGAACTGTGGAGTCCTTGGGGTTCTCTGAGGTTGCAAGAAAAGAACCAAGCTCAGAGAACCCCAAGGACTCCACGTCTGCTGGTCCCCACCAGCCGACATTACTTGGCTAATGGAACCCGGAGCATGCCCAACTTGCCAGACTGGATTGGACGTACTTCTCTCAAGATCCTCGTTGCTGCAAGTTGCAGCATTGGAATGGATATTGCTGCTCCAGGTGTAACCTTCAGTGCCTTAAAACCAGCAAAAGAGGGGCTATGCCATTTTTTCCAGTAGTTTGCAGCTGTAGATAAATTCGGGAAATTTCTTGGAGCTAGATTGATGATGGCTGGGTGTCGAATTGCACTGGCAAACTTGAACATGGACCCTGTCTTCTTCTTCACTATGGAAACAGCTGCTTCAAATTTTGGTATCTCAGCAACAACTTGCCTCATAGCAATTGTTCCATCCATGCACTGCTTGAGGTACGCTTCTACACTGAAACATATAGTCATTTGTGCTTTGTTGGCTACAAGTTTCATTTGGTCTATTAGCTCTTTAGCAGGTGATTCTGCTTCAAGTTCAATAAGATTGAGTACCAAATGACCAATCCATGGCTTTGAGTTGATCCAGTCAATAGCATGTCCAGCATTGTATAGTGTAATAGGCATTGCATTTGCTGGTAGTTTTCTTTTGAAGTGAGACCATTAGTGTTTCAAAATGTTTGTGGACTTGAGCACTATTGATTCTGATTTTATCGCTGGATCCAATGGCTAGTCCAATAAAAAGGTCACAGCAACGGCAAAGGAGTAAGGTGAGCTCTGTGGCAGTTAGTCCTGCGTCAGCTTTGTTTTGGGTTGATTTCTTGTGCAGTGTACTTGTTCCTTTTGGTCTCCCCTCCTTTGGTGTTAAAAGCCCTGAAGTCTCTGAAACACCAACAGTTTTAAATGCTGAGTGTAATCCATTGAAAATAAGGCACAGAAAGACAAGGCTTGCAGTGACAGGATGGAATTTGTCATGCCACGCTGGATCAAGTAAATCCTTGGCATTTTTTTTTTATATCTTCCTCCTTTCCAATCCCAGGGCCTGCTTCTGTGGTTTCATCAGGGAACTGATAACTATTCCCTGTTAAGTAGCTACCAAACACGGCTTTGGGCTCCCCTTCGTCCATGTCTGTTTCATCCTCATTGTTGTCGGTCTGCTTGTTTCTGGCATTTTGTTTGGTCTATATGTATCAAGTTACATGAAAAGTCCAAATTACTATTGTATCTTTGCAATTCTCAGTTCTTATATTCATCAAGGAAATGATTTCTGACATGCTACCCCTAATCTATTTAACTATATTATTGAATTCAAGCCTGTAAATAGTCAGATGTAGAAGGATACACTTTAAATGTCTAAAATCAAGCATTAAGAACAAGGTTTAATAATTCAATAATAAATCCTAAATTGTCTTAACTTGTACAAATTAACAACTACTACTTAACGTAATAATGTCACAGATTTTTATCTCTGAAACTCTAGTTTATCTTTACTGAATTTGTAATATAGCTGAAGAACAGAAAAAAGAAATACAACACTGAATATAAGTTTATTAGAATTATACATTTCAATGACTAGATTTAAGTAATCAATATAACCCTTATAATAAGTGGTACCTGAATCATCTTATTTTCCTTTTTTTCTCCCCACATTCTTTCCTTTTACCAATATTTTTTTAAGGCTGTGAGCTTGAAAGTGGAGATTTTTCTTTTCTTTTTTACTGATTTATTAAAACAAATTGAGAGTCTTTCCAATTTGTGTGTGAAAATAAAAACTTTAAATGAATACATGCATTCATTACATTTATATACACGCTTCTATAACTGGCCATGGAACAAGGTTCACTGGTAGATTGTACTCCCCTTTTTAGACCAAAACAAGAGCACAAGTTCAACCTGGTCCTATTCACTGATCAAGACAAGGACCTTATTTCTCCCATTCTTGTTTTACTCTGGCCACACCAATCAGCACATGACTAATGGCTGCTGGGTTACAGGGTTCTGTATGTCTGTGTGTGGGCGTGCATATGTATTCACTGCAATGAAATGTAGGCCAGCTTGAGAATCTTTGAATTACAAAGTGAAATACAAGCTTAAAATGAATTTTAAAAAATCTAGCAAGTCACCTTTGGAGTGGTTTCCTTGCTTGCAAGTGGTTTAAACCTATCATTGATTCCAAAATATTGAGTGAGCTCTTTTAAGTGGCTTTCCTTTGTGGATTGTTGGCTACAAGGAAAGGAAAAAAGAACAAATAGTTGGACAAGGTCCCATCACAAGAAAATAATCATATTTTTAAATATGTAACATATGCAATATAATATTAAAATTAATAATTCTATTGCAGACTTATCTAAAAGAAATACATATTTAAATCTAAAAGGACATATTTTATAGACACTGTATTTTCTTCTATCTGGCAACAGTTATACAATTCAATTTTATTTACATTTGTATCTTTGATATAAAAGAATATACCTACTTTATGAAAACAAAGCCGTACATGTCTATCCTTTAGCAGGTGGGCAGACATTTTTTTCAAATAATATTTCTTGATAGGATCACTTCTGTATAAAAATTCACTACTGTGAAGAAGAGCTGAACATTTTGACTATGCAAAATGAGTTTTAAATAATCATGTCATGTTTTCAAATACCTTTCAGTTATTTCTTCACTGTTTTTCTTTTTCATTTCACCTAAAAAAAAAAAATCAAACCCTAAAATTTAGTATGAACAATTTCTTATGAATAAAAAGTTTTATGACTTAATTCAGTCAATTGCTGATGTAGTATTCAGCATGATGTTCCCCCCCCCCCACTTCCATAGCAACAAACACAAATACGTACTGACACATACCTAACTTTAGAGGGAATTAAAGGCCTATATGCTCTGTATAATAATATAGTATGCTAAGTAGTGCATGTGGGCATTAAGTTACAGTGGGAGAGGGATCCCCTTTAGCTGTAACAGGCAACTGAGAAGTGCACTTATTTTTAATTATTTTTCTGATGGCTGAAGATTTCAAGACAGCGATGGAATGATAAAACCAGAGGTGGGTTTTGTTTTGTTTTGGAGGTTTAGGACTGAATTGTAGGATTAATTTAATTATACAATGCCTTTGCACCTATAGCCAAATCATTTATAGAAAGATAATTTCTACTGCTTTAGTTAATCAAGCCTCCTTATAAGACTTACTTAAGATGGGCAGCCATATAAATTTGTAGAATGAATAAATAAATAAAACACCCCAGTCAAAAGAATACGTAACTGGGGGGGGGGGGGGGG